AACAGATTTGTTTTCTACATACCACTGGGGTGAAACGCACCAGGCCCAAGGCAGCAGAAAATGCCCAGCCTGCAGCCTTCCCATAATCAATCCAGCTGGGACAAGGTCACTCGGTAGCTAATGCCCTGACTAAGCCCAGACCGGGGAGGAGAATCTAGCTCTGAAAGGTTCTCCTGGCTCTTGAAGCAATTTCCCAGAGGCCCTTTGGAGCCAGTTGAGCCAGGAGAGTGATGCTTAAGGATTGCTGGTAGACAACATCGAGAAAGCTTACTCTCTACACTGTTCGGCTGACCTCGGGAATCTGTATGGCCCTATCACCGTGCAGTCTAGGGCTCCAGTCTTTCCCGTTTAGCCCAAGCAGTAAGGAAGGCCATTACCCCACTGTATGAATGACATGTTCTGAGTGACTGGGCCAAAGGCATACAAAGAGTTTAGTCACCAGAGAGAAAAGGGGGGGGGGGGTTCTCCCACAACCCAGGCCTAGAGACATCTGCCAGGCATCCTCCAGCATGAACCTTCGTGGCTGGCCTCCAACACCAGGGCCAACTGTTCTGCCACAAAAATCAGCAGAAGTCCCAAATGCCTAAAGTGGGAAACTGCAGGATGTTAACAGGGTCAGGACAATAGCATCCAGTCAAGAAAGTAGTTCCCTGTGTTCCTAGGCTCAATTTCAGAAAGGACAAAGGGCATGCCCCACACCAGCCAGCTCAGCACCTTGTGCCTGCTGGCCGTGCTGCTGCAAAATACCTTTATAAATTTTCGATCATCCCTTGGGATGCCAGATGTTTGAAGGCCTTCTTCCCAACACACTCCTTCACTGTATCCAGCATCGGCATTAAACCTTGCCAGGATGTGTTCAAGTGTCTGGGACTCCTCAGAATGAACAGCTTCTACATACATCCCATTGGGTTACTCAGGTCAGGGCATGCTCTGCACATGGCCCCTCACTAATGGAAGGAGCACTTGGGTGGCCAGTAACTCACCCAGACCCTGAATTCCATTCCAGATGCACTGTGTTTGCCCTGTGAGCTAGCAGCTGGCACATGGACAAGTAGACTGTCAAAGAGGCTGAGCAGGACCAATAGCCAAGCAAGTCAGAGAGCAGGGGTCTCAGCAGGGCTGCTATACTTGGTTTAGTCCATTTCAAGAGCCCCATTAACATGCCCGAGGCTTACCAGGATAGTAGCTCTTTCCTTGCCTAGAGATATCAGGTCAATGCTTTACTGTCTCATCTTTCACTTTTGCTTGAGGTACAAACAAGAGGAAACCTTTGCTTTACAAACACTAATGGCACATATTAAAGGAGTCATCCCACATGCCTCAGGTTAGACTTCCTGCATCAAGGCCAGTGCTACAGCAGCCACAGGACTACAAGAGTGCGACTGGAACTTTTGCCTGCTGCACACATATTTGTATTAGACTTTGGTTCTCATATCCCAAGATGTGGAAGCTGTATCAGCCTGTCTAGGGGGATACTGGACTCATAAACAGTCAAGTCACCAGCAAAGGAGCAGACAGACAAGTTAAGCCACATTAAAAAGGGGAGAATGGGCCTGCCACACATCAGCTGCTCAATTACTCTGTCCTGCAGGGTAGGCAGAACCTAAACCAGTGTAACTTCATCCTGTTTAAAACAAGGGTAAGCTACCATGGACTAGCTTCCATCTGCCACAGGATAAGAGCAGACACGCAAGACAGTTACCACAAAGAAGCAGACACAAGGCAAGTTCCATCCCTCCTTTCCTACTTGAAACCCATATAATGGTGTTGTTCTGTCTATACCAAGAAGACAGCTTAATTGATGTATGCAGTCTTATTGGTCAGAACTGGGTTAAAAGGAAATATTTATGTGGTCAACTGGGAATGCAAAACTAGGGGCAGAGATGAGAGGCACACAGAGAAATGGGCTCCACTCCCTACCAGACCTGATACATACCCTAATGGAATGAGGAGAGAATGGAGTCTCATCGTTCCAGACCCCAGCAGACCCACAGACAAGAACACAAGGAAAGCTTGTAAAATGCACTCCTCCAGAGCCAAACCCAGCATGGAAAAGTCTACACGGTACAGTCAGCTGTGATGCAACTAGCCACACTGGAGCCTTTAAATCACCCCACATCCTACTGGGGGAGAGGAATCCCAACTAGTCTAGAGGCTGGATGAAAATCCTAGAAAAAGCATGATGTAGCCAGCTGGAGACGTACAGTAAGAGTGAGGGCAGGTATTAATACAATACATAGGACGAGCTCTCAGGGGCAGGAGACAGCAGATTCCACCTAGAAAATGAAGCAGCTGTCTTGGGTCAAGTTAGTAGATAACATGGAGCAGAAAGAGACCTGGGGAGACAGCAAGAAACAAAACACCAGCATCAATGTAACACCACAGCACTTAAAGACTACATGAGTGCCATCTGTGTTCGGGTCTCCAGGTTGTAGCCATAATGGTCAGTGAGGATCTAGTCAGGGAACTTCTGGAGGGACTAGACGCATTTAAAAATCAGCTGGTCCTGACAAGCCTCCCCCCCTCCCCCCCCAGTGCTGAGGGAATTAGCAGAGGTCATTGTGGGACCCCTGGCACAGCTTTACAAGTACTTGTGGTACTCTGGTGTGGTGCCAGAGGACTGGAAAAGGGCCAATGTGGTTCCCATTTTCAAAAAAGGGAGGAAGGAGAACCCAGGAAACTATAGGCCAGTTAGTCTTACCTTGATCCTGGGTAAGCTTTTTTTATCTCTGGGTGTCTATGAGGGGCCAAGAGGGGAGATTATGCTTAGGGGCAACCAACACAGGTTCATTAGAGGCAGGTCCTGTCAGACCAACCTGATGGCCTTCTATGACCAGGTCACAAAATCCTTAGATGCAGGGGTAGCAGCGGACGAAGTCTTTCTGGACTTTGGGAAGGCCTTCGACACGCTCTCTCACCCCATTCTCATTAAAAAACCAGGCGGCTGTGGCATCGACACCTACAGTCAGATGGGTCACTAACTGGCTGGAGGTCCGCACCCAGAGAGTGGTGGTGGATGGGTCATTTTCAACCTGGAGGCATGTGGGCAGTGGGGTCCCCCAGGGCTCGGTCCTCGGACCCACGCTGTTCAACATCTTCATCAGCCACTTGGACAAGGTGGTAAAAAGCACCCTGTTCAAATTCGCAGACTACACAAAAGTGGGGGGAAGTGGGCACGCTAGAAGGGAGGAATAGGCCGCAATCGGACCTAGACAGGTTACAGGGGTGGGTGGATGAGAACAGGATGGGTTTCAACACTGACAAGTGCAAGGTGCTTCACCTGGGGACAAAGAGCATCTCAAGCAGGTCCAAGGAGGTGATCCTCCCCCTCTATGTGACACTGGTCAGGCCGCAGTTGGAGTACTGCGTCCAGTTCTGGGCACCACACTTCAGGAGGGATGTGGACAACATGGAGAGGGTCCAGAGGAGGGCCACCCACATGATCAGGGGGCAGCAGGGCAGGCCCTACGAGGAGAGGCTAAGGGACCTGAACCTGTTCAGCCTCCACAAGAGAAGGCTGAGGGGGGGATCTGGTGGCCATTTACAAACTAGTCAGAGGGGACCAGCAGGCATTGGGGGAGTCCCTGTTTCCCCGAGCACTCCCAGGAGTGACTAGAAATAACAGTCACAAGCTGGCAGAGGGTAGATTCAGGCTAGATATCAGGAGGCGTTACTTCACTGTCAGAGCGGCTAGGATCTGGAACCAACTTCCAAGAGAAGCGGTGCTGGCTTCTACCCTGGGGGTCTTTAAGAGAAGGCTAGATGAACACCTTGCTGGGGTCATTTGACCCCAAGTGCTGTTTCCTGCCATGGCAGGAGGTCAGACTTGATGATCTGCTCAGGTCCCTTCTGACCCTACAAACTATGAAACTATGGTCTAGTCTAGAGGAAAAGGCAATCGGGACTCGTAGTAGAGATGATATCTTTTATTAGACCAACAAGATTTTTGCAAAAAAAATTCTTTAATTGCAAGCTTTTGGGCACAAACATCCTTCATCAGGCATTGGAGAAAAGATTGTAAAAGTTCTCTGGCATGTGTGCTCAGGCACCAGCCCCTGCCTGCCTCACTCCTCATGCAGCTAAAGGGAACAAGGCTGAAAGGTTGCCCCATGTTACCAGAGAGACTGGCCAAAGGCAGAGGTTCGGGGAAAACAACTAGTAGGGTAGAGGTCTGGGGAAGGTTAGAAGGGGTCAAGCAAGACTTGGTAGAAGACATATCCTCTGCCATGGGGTGCAGGCCAGAAGCTGTGCCAAACACATGAAGCCAGGATGCCAGAGCTCCCAGCACAAAACTGCTCTCAAGTTGTAGTAGAAATACTGAGATATTGCCTGGGTCTTACCACTAGGTTAATCCCACCATACGATTATTTTAGGCAGAAAGGATGCCAGCTTGTGTCCAAGAGGATGTAACTGGTCAGCTGCTATAGGTAGTAACCACATTCCTATTGCTGGCTGCCTCTAAACTCCAAGACAGGGGCAGCTTATAGCCCCAGCAGGAAACACCATACCAGAACCTCTCTAGAACTGCCCACCAGTACAGGCCAGAAGGGAAGCATGTGCTGGGGTATTCCCTTATCATGGTGCTCCTACCAACTAGGTACCCAGCAGCCCAATGCTGTTTCCCAGTGGGAGGGGACTATTGATTGGTCTGTGGTCCAGGGCAACACACTTGAAGGAACAGGCATTTCAGGTCCTCTACCCCACAATGCTAGCAGCAGGTGGCACTGTGCACTCTTCCATACCCAGCAAGGTCCTTCTCCATCACCCTCTGTCTCAGACAGCTGGCTGACCACTTTTTAGACTTACTGCTTTGTGGAGCACAATGTCTCTGGTATGCACCTGCTGTGGGTCAGGCAATGGCTTCCAACTGTGCTCTCTCCAGGACAAGGTCTATGTTTTGGGCCTGCCCCATTTTTGCTGCACAAGCCATAACTTTTCCAAATGTACTATTAGGAGAATCCACCCTAGCAGCAAGTAGGAACTACCCCTGCTTCAGGTGTGAAACTAGGGCATCTTCATCATGCTGCAGCCAGCTCCAGCCTGCAGAGATGCTAGTGAGAACCTGTACCACACACTAAATGGGGTAAAACCCAGGAGGCATCAGCCCCAAATCACTTCAGTGCCAATGACTTAAGCAGCAACACTAGCCAGTCAGGGATCAGGGAGAAGTGGGGAGGAATGGCTGTTGAAAGAGGACAAGAGATCAGAGATCCCTTCCCTACTCACCTCTAGAGAAAAAACTAGAAAACAGGGTTGACATCAGTGCCCCCTGTATCATGATAGCAGCCATCCTGTGCTTCCCATCCCACCTGCACTATTCCTAATAGAACCATTCCCCCCCGTCAAGTGCACTCTTGCCCATTATATGCCACACTATAGCTCTGGCAGCTTACAAGAGTCCTGGAAGAGCTTCAGATTAGAGGGGAAGATAGAAAGAGCTCCTAATAATTTACCACTGAAACAGCTCCCTGAGGGAGCTATCTGACCCAGGAGTCTCCCAATCAAGTTCCGACTGAGCCAGAGCTGAAATTCTGGGTTTGCTGCAGGATCTGTACCACAAATTCCCTGGTTTGCAATGTACAGAAGGTCAGATTCAACAGCCCCCTTAGCCTTGAACTAACAGTTTGATTTCTCCACTTTGATACCTCCCCACAGAGAATGCAGGGCTGAAAAAAAAGTCTGTAGTGTGTGGAGCTGCTAGGGGTGCCAACGGATTACTGTAGGCTGTTCAGTTGTAGTCATAACAAAGTGTCCTCCCACCTCCTGATGCTCAGAGCCTTGCTCACACAACACCTAGCCAAAGCATTCCCACAATCCCTGCGGAGGCCTTTGAGCATGGCTGGGGGCCTCAACAGCAGGAAAAAGTATGGGATTTCCCTGGAAGCCAGAGCCCCTTCCACAAGAGATGAGAAACACCTTGCTCCAGACAATTCAGATGATTCCCTAGAAGTATGATCCAGCACAGCTGCAGCATTCTCTACCTCCCAACCAAAGGGGCTGTTCACCCAGCCTCTGGTGCTCATGTCTTGAGCTAGGGGGAACAGATCTGCACTAGTAGCTTCCTGAATTACCTAGAATTGGAGGGGTGTGGTACACCCCAACACCCATTTCTTTCATTTTACCATGGTAGCCCTGGGCTGCAGACTTAACACAGCTGGTCTGCCCCAGCATGAGACCTACATGGGACTCCTGCTATTAGGGCTAGGCTCCTTACTGCATCAGTGGCTCACTGACAGGTCTTTACCCACTACCTCAGGAGCCATTTATATCCCATTCCTGGGCTGCCTGCAGTTACTAAAAGACAGCAACCCCACACACCAACTGAAGACAACTGACAGGCAATACAACCACAGCATTTACCTGTGCCTGGGCTGGCAGGCAGGTTTATGCTGACTTGGCCTTGCACTCCTGCCACCTGTCCTTCCCTCTCCTCCAGAGGATGACAGGCCAACCTCTCAGATTGCTATAGAGGGCACACAGCAGCAGATGCCCAAATTATTCCCACTGGCTGAAGTATCCCTCTCCAAAGGTTCAAAAGCAGTAAGAGATCCTTTTCTCCAGGAGCTGCACCCCAAGAACCTGCCCATGGACAAGAAGTGCTCAGCACAACCAGTCCCCAACACACAGGGAGCGCTGACCAGAGACAACAGATGATTCAATGTATAACCTTCAATTAGCATAGTGACCAGTCAGGTGCATGCAAGATATGCAGGCAGACAGCTCTTCTACAGGACTACCCAAGGTGTTGGCCAGGTCCAGTTATGCATAATTGGGGAGATACAAGAACAAGAATACAAGCCACAGCAGCACGCAAAAATGTGCTGCAGCCCTGTAACAGATAGAACACAAGGCAGAGTTAAACCAAGGTTTCCCACAGCTGCTGGAGCAAAGAGAGCTAGGAAAGTTGTGCCCATGTAATAAGGCCTCCTTTTAAAACAAGGCATCTAGCCCTTGAGCACGTAGCTGAGCAAGACTGTCCCAAGTCTTCAGCCAGCCAATTCCCACACCTCTGCTGCTGCTTGGGGTGCTCTTCCCTAGCACAGAAAGAAGGTCACAGTCATACTCCATGCCAGTCTGCCTGCTGGCACCAACATGCCCACAACTCAACCACTGCAGCACCATTACTGAGGGAGAAAGGTAAGCAGCTGAGTCAGCCACAGAAGTAAGAAACCTGGAGAACAGGTGACGTAGTAAACATGCCCGTCTCACAATACAACCAGCTGTAAGTGGCAAGAAGGGTCCACAGCCTTCTAGTAATGAGGGCAAGATTCAAACACGGTTAGATATGAGGTAGCCATAGCCTCTTGGAACCCTACAACTAAGTCTAGAACAGCACCCTTCCAGGAGACGCAGCATCTACCTTCTCCTGCAGACTGGGAACAGGGGCATTATCCTCGCTCCCCAGCCATGCCAACCTATGCTGCTCGCACTGAGCTTTAAGACTTCTTGGGTCTGTTCAGCCATTAGTAGGAACCTTCCAAGGAGTCTCTACTATGCTGCCTAGCAGGCCCATGCGAAGCAGCTAATATTCGCTTTGGATTTGGCAGACAGCGATTCGAATCACTGTCCCAAATCAATTTGGCCAAATCTGATTTGGAGATTCAGCCACCACTGAATCGGCCCCATCCCCCACCCGCTCTCCCAGCCCCATCAATGGCTGCCCTGCATGGCCCAAGCTCTTTAAAAAAAAAAAAAAAGCCCTCACTCATCAGCTGCTGCCAGGTTGGGGGGGGCAGCGGCAGCAATCCCTGCTGCCCCACGCTGGGCCATGCTGCAATGAGGCCCCAGGAGC